TTTTTATATATATATAATAAAAAATCGATTTTTGAAAATGTAATAATCGATTCATACTCGTCCATAACATAATCGCGATTAATCAATAATCGATTTTTTTCACCACCCCTAATAGATCAGTGGTTTTAACGCAGTTAGTGGAATTGGCAGACGTTCCCTTGTGCATCATGAGCTGTGGTTAGCGCGTCAAAGCATTCTCGTGTAGAAATATGCAGCTACAGGCCCGCTACGCCAGTTGATTTTCAATTAATATTTCATGTCGATATACAATGGTTGCATATTGTTAAAACTCATCGTGCTATAGTAAGACTATAGCCTATGGCTTAAGGGTCAAGGGAAAACAAATGTAGCCTACTGCGAAAATCGTTTTTAATATTTAAAAACAGACATTTTCAAATTCCTGCTTGTATACTATGTACACAATGTGTAGTCAGATAAAAATAAGCATATAATATGAACGCAACTGCGAAATTTCACCTTTTTTTAGCAGGAAGGAAAATTGTATTAACTTGAAACGCCGTGCGTTGCGTTCATGTAGTCTCTTGTCTGTAGGCTATATAGTTTTCCTCCCATAGAGCATATTATAAAGAAAAAGCTTAACGTCAATGCAGTAAGACAGTGATATTTAAACTCAGTAGCCAATACACCTTACTGAACATGCAACGCGCGATTGCACGTTAAGCGTTTTATAATGGTTTTCTATGGGTGTTGTTCATAATCTGACGTAATGTTTGCCTCTATAAAGTATGCTTTATTAATAGGGTAGGCCTATATTATTGTGTACTAAATTTGGTGCTTTAATATCACTCTCATTAAGCGTCTTAAATGCGGAAGAACGCTTGATTATGCTGCCGTTGTCTGTTTTAGCAGAATACTGCCATCTAGTGGTAGCAGCTTTTCTCAGACAGCTGTGTGTGGATCGTGCAAGGCGAAACCCGCGAAATGAAAGTCTCAAAATCCAAATGAATCAAATAGGATCGACTCAATGAATCGAGTCAATGAATGCACGCGCGTCACCTGATCCACACATGCACGTCTTCTGTGTTGCATGTGCAAATTATGATACACTAATACAAAGGAAAACATTTGTATTCACAAAAATGTCTCTATTTGTACAAATTGCTTCACATTCATTCAATTTTGAATTTTGCACACACAAGTTGAAAGGCATGGATAAAACATTTCTGCAACATGTATCAAGTTCATTGATAAGTGTGCTTGCACGTGTTAATCATTTTGATACTAAAATCATCCCATATACTCTCGCACGCACTAGGCTACAGATGCGCGCGCGCCCTTCCGGGAGAAGTGCCCTTAAGACCCGTATAAGGAAATTCCGGCCACTCTGACGTCACACACGCCCGTATTCGAAAAAAACTTTCCGAAACTTGTGACAACCCGGAAGGAGTATTTTTGGAACAGAATTACTCCATCAAACTTACAACTTGATTTTTGAAACTTTGTCCATGTTTAGCATGGGAATCCAACTCTTTAACAGTGTAAAAAACTCACTATGCATGAAACAGCATTTCACCCCCCCTTTAAACAACTTTTTCCTTTCGTGCTCCACTGAAGAAAGTGTCATATTTTGAATGACGTGAACAAATGATGACAGAATTTACATTTTTCGGGTGAACTGTTCCTTTAAACATGGAGAGGGGTTTTCAACAGCCATGAGAACTTATGCCGCATTGCCCCACTGTCATTTCCCCTGCATTTCTTCTTACTACTGCTGAATTATTAGTAGCTCTGGTTTAGATTATGTGCTGTAGAGTTGTAGGGTCGCCTGTGAAGGCGTAAGAGCGGTGTCGTAATTCAGCAGGCGGTGGGCTGGTTGGTGGGTGGCTTAAGTGCAGAACTATTGCTGCTTTTTACCTAATGTTAAGTGGGCATTGAAATTCAAAGCATCCCACCACTTTGTGTAGCATTTATTAACATCAGCTAAATCATCAGTGATGGGAATAGTGAAAGCAATCCAAATTAAACTAATGCACTGCTAAAACATTTTTCTTAAATGTTTTTTTTAGTGATTTCTACAGTTCTTCCATGTGTGCCTTCTATTCAGAAAATAATATGCGGAGTGCATTCTCATCTCTTTAGCCAAATGCTAAGGCCCAAGACGTATTCTATATATGAATGTGAATAAAAATAATTTACTGAAATACTACACAACCTGAATTTCACACATTGCATTCTAAAATGTTTATTGAAATTTCTTCTACAGTCAGTTTTCTTAATCAGATAGATAGACAGATCGACAGACAGACAGAACAACCAACAGAGAGATGGATAGAACGACTGTCCGACAGACAGACAGACAGAGCATGATAGATCGACAGACAGACAGACATGGATGGATGGATGGACAGACAGACAGATAGATAGATAGATAGATAGATAGGTAGAACAACTGACATAGAGATAGATAGATAGATAGATAGATACATAGATGATGGGTGGATGGATAGATAGATAGATAGCACAACCGACAGAGATACAGATGATACATAGATGATGGATGGATGGATAGATAGACAGACAGACAGAACCACCAACAGAGTGACAGATAGATAGATAGATAGATAGATAGATAGATAGATAGAACAACAACTGTCCAATAGATAGATAGATAGATAGATAGAACAACCGACAGAGAGACAGATAGATGGATAGAACGACCATTTAACAGGCAGACCGAAAGAAGGATAGATAGACAGACAGACAGAGACAGACAAAATGATAGACAGACAGAGACAGACAGATTGATAGACAGTTAGAAAGATAGACAGACAGACTGAGACAGACAGACAGAGACAGACAGATTGATAGACAGTTAGAAAGATAGACAGACAGACTGAGACAGACAGAATGATAGATAGACAGACAGAGACAGATAAATGGATAGAACGACCACCCGTCAGACAGACAGACAGACAGACAGACGCTTCAACAGTGTCTAAAGTATTTAGTGCTTTCAGATTAGTCACTTGTGAGGTTGCATAAAACTCACAGAGAAAAAAAGCCAAATGATTAACGGTGCAATGACTCGTCTCTTCAGAACAACCATTTCTGTTCTGGCACTGCTAAGACTGTGTACCGCTTCTCCAGGGCAGACATAAATCTGAGACGAACAATTGCCTTTGTTACTAATTCAAGAAGTGACTTTTAATATTCATCACATTTTTTTTAGTCCCAAGAGCTTTAGCTTTCACTACGGCTGGACCACTTCTTATAATTTCCAAATGAATCCCTGGCTACATAAAAACGGCCTGATGGGAAGAGTTAAGTTGAGACTTCAAACAAGCAACTTTATGGTAAACGTTTGGCAGCATGAGCGCACAAAGAAATTCTCACATTTTAACGTGTGATCGTCTCGACTAACAGCACAGCCAGAGCACCTTTGAAGTAGACGCCGTTCCGTCATTATTAATGTGAACATTATTCAGCCTTTATTTGTGAGGGTTATTCGTTGCCAAGAGTCTTTACATTGGAAACTTGATCAGACGGGGCTCAGCCTATGCGGATGACAGCGCTGTGTCAGAATGTGAAAAGTATAACTCTGCATACACAGACGCATGACAGGTCGGTTTCCTCCACACGGCGGGTATCCACCAAATCCACATACACACTCTGGACAGGATCCAGACCTAGTGCATGGACACAGGTGTGGGCCATAACTGTTCTTAAAACCCCACTAATTTATTTCAAACTGACGTTTCTGGTTTGTGATACGGCAAAGTAAAGTACCAGATTTGATATATCATTTTAAGGGGCATAACCCAGGCATAACCTTCCGCTCCCCCGCTGTGAAATCTTCTATGCCACGGCAACAGAAATAATATTTTACCTAAGTTACGAAGGTGTGTTTGAAGTCTGTATTGAAGGCAATGCAATTAAAAACAGTTATCTGCGAAATAATGGCGAGAGATGTCTTTATATAGAGTTTCTTTGTGGGAGAAAACAACATATAACGTTACCAGTGTAGGTAAAATGAGTCATGAGAAGGTTATTTTTAGTGAATCAAAACATACAGCGCAAGCAGTAGTCTCATTCACAAACAAATGAATATTATGAGCCAATTCTTTTTACTGAATCAAAAACAGAGCGCAACTAGTGTAGTCTGATTCCCAAACAAATGTCTCTTAAGCCATCTTTGTTTAGGAATAAAAAATATTAGGGCTGGGCAACGATTAATCGCATCCAAAATAAAAGTTTGTGTTTACATAATATATGTGTGTGTAGTGTGTATAATTATTTTGTATATATAAATACACACACATGCATGTATATATTTAAGAAATATTTGCATGTATATACTTTATATAAATTTATACATAATTAATATTATATATAAATATAAATATTGGATATATTAATTACACATTTTTCTTAAATATATACATGCATGTGTGTGTATTTATATATATACAAAATAATTATACATACACAAACTTTTATTTTGGATGCGATTAATCGCGATTAATCGTTGCCCAGCCCTAAAAAATATATATTATTAAAAATTACAAAGCATTAAAGCAATACAGATAAACATGGAACAAACAAAAAAGACAAAAAGATACACAGACACAAATAAATTGCCAGGGTAACAAAAAAACAAGAACAATGCAATGCATATACCTTAAGAGGACAAAAAGGATGAATATAGAGATACAGTTTTCAATGTACTCTGTTTTATAAGAATGAATAGCTTAAGACCAGTTCACCATTTTGAATCAGTCGACAATTATTTCACTGGACTGATTTCAACAGAGCTGTAACTGAATCAACATCCGATCCTTACGCAGCTGAAAGTTATTATTATTTTCTGTAGGTCTCTATATTTTTGAGTGATGTATCACTTAATATAGTGATAATTTGCAGTGTAAACATGCATGTAGAGCAACAGTACAGTATTACAAAGTGTAAAATCTGGCAAATATGAGTCACTAGATCATTAAAGTGCTGCATCAGTAACCACTGGTTTTATGTTTTCTCTTCAGCCTGTGATTGTCATCCGGTCGGTGCAGCTGGTAAGACCTGTAACCAGACGACTGGACAGTGTCCATGCAAAGATGGTGTGACTGGCATCACCTGCAACCGCTGCGCTAAAGGATACCAGCAAAGCAGATCACCTATCGCCCCTTGCATCAGTAAGAGTTATCTGGCTTTTTTTTCTATTTCTCCTAATGTGTCTTGTTGTTTATTAATACTTAGTGTCGAAAATCAACAAATGAATTACACTAGCCATTCTAAAGTTTGGGGGTCTGCAAGATATATATATTTTAAGAAATTAATACTGTAACTCAGCAAGGATGCATTATATTGATCAAAAGTGAAAGGTAACGAAAGATAAATATTCCAATTAAATGCTGTAATTTTGAACTTTCCTGAAAAAAATTGTCTCCACAAAAATGTATAAATATTAGAATGATTTCTAAATGATCACGTGACACTGAAGGCTGGAGTAATGGCTTCTGAAAATTCAGTTTCGCCATAACAGAAATGTATTAAACTAGAAATCAGTTTTTTAAATTGTAATAATAATAATTTGCAATATTACTTTTTTTAACTTAATTTGATCAAATAAATGTAGCTTTGGTGAGCATAAGAGACTTCTTTCAAAAACATTCAAAACTCTCGCTGACTCAAAACGTTTGTACAGTAGTTCTATTATATTAAATTAAAGTATATTAAATTAAAAATAGGCGCCATTTACACGACACTATTTTCGAATAAAAATGGAAAACTGCATTTTGGCCGTTCATTTCCACAACATTGGCGTTTTTCTGGCCTGAAAATGTTTTTGAAAACGGGTTTAGAAGTGTTTTTGAAAACGATACAGGTATTGTCTCGATGTAAACAACAAAAACACAAATTTGTGAAAACGGTGACGTCATGCGCTTGCGTATTACGTGTTCAGTCTATAGGTGCGTAGTGTTTCTTTACAAACATCGCCAACTTCGAGATTGTATGTTCTAATTTGTGTAACATACCTAATTAGGATGATTCTTAGTCAATCTAAGTAAATCTGTTAATTACTGTTTATTAACCACAACAAATAAATATGAAGCTATTCTCATACTAATGTTCATGAAAACATTTCTGAATTATCTTAAATTTCATTGTCTCTACCTCTTGAAAAATTAGTGTGACCTACAAATAAATAACAGAATGACACAAAATGGTTGTTTTAAAAGCAGAAAGAAATCTACTATTATGCAGCTTCCTTCAAAAATTATTCTTGGACTAAATGAGGTGGTGCAGCATGAGTTTTTTTCCCCATTACCACCCACAGAGACATTAATAATAATACTCCAAAGAAATTTTGCATAAACACCTATTATTATTCATGATTTCGTGGCCCCAGCCCAGTTAATTTCCGTATCGGTCCCCTGTTCCATTATTTCCTTGGATGGACATTTCGCTGATTGCCCTCCGCTAAGTCAAACAGACCATAAAGCCCTGGCTGACATGACCTAGTCTCACCCGAACCTTGCTGACGGCCTTTCAACTCATAAATCTCACGCCTGCTCCAGGGGCATGATGGGTGATGTGTTTATTGGCAGTATCAACAAGGCAGCAGACGGTCTCTGTGGCGATTAAGGACAGGCCCACACAGCAGCTGGCATTTCTCGATAAGATACTCACTGGGAGAGAAATACAATATGTGGCTATTAATGTGAACCGCTTCTATTATGCACTAACTGATGACATCGAAATAAAGATTTATCTGGCCCTCTGACAAAAGCAACTATAGACATGAAGCCATTCAGATTTGCTTGGCAAGGATTCACGTAGACAAATGAAACCCTTAGAAACTAGATTTCCCCTAATTTCTCAGGGTAAGTAACAAATGTGCTGTTAAATCTGGAAAGAGAGAGAGAGAGAGGGAGCCCTGACAATCGAGAGGAAAATATTTGGTTTCTCATATATTTTGTGATATAACGTGCTTTTGTTTTAATAGCCTGATATTAAATTTTTGCGACATCACACATTTTGCCAACTGCACATTTTAACAAGCCTCGATCCCCCATCGGCGTATATCTAACAGCAGAACGCTTAAAAGAGGAAGAAGGGGCTTCAGAGAGGAAACTCATTAAAACTAGACACCACCACGTCTTCATGACACCAGTTATATGTCTAAAAAACCTGATATGTATACTAAAATTATCTTAAAAACTAATGAAAAAAAACGAAAAAAAATAAAAAAACAGGTGCAATGTATATTGAAAGCAACAATGCCTAGAAAAAAAATGTACGGCATGAGGTTTTGATTGTTTGTTCTTGACTGTTTGTTACAGAAATCCCTGTTGCTGCACCCACAGCCACCTACAGCAGTTCAGAAGAGCCTACAGGTGAGTTCAAAATAAATTAAACCATTTACTGGCATTACTGAGCAATCAAGCTCTATATGGTAAAATATCCCAAATACAAATTTGTTTAGATTTTTTATGCGTTGATTCAAACATTATATAATGTTATAAACATTAACATTATATAACATTATAACATTATAAAACATTATATAACATTATACAATATATATATATATATATATATATATATTCTCCATAAAATTTGAAATAAAGTATAAAATTACAGATAAAAATTACAAGAATAAAAAGGGAAATTACAAGCATAATTTAAATGTGTTTAAGTGTAATAGTTAATAAGATTAATAAAATGGAATACAATGTTAATGATAATGTAATTAATAATAAATAAATTGTTTAAATTAAAGGTACACTATGTAACTTTTGGCCCTCTAGCGGTTAAAAAACAAAACTGCATGTATTTTGCGGAAGAACATTGTTTTGGTTGTGCTTCGGCTCTGCGTGACTGTGTGAGGATGAATATGGTTATCCTACTGCTCATAAAACATTCACTATTAGGCTTAAGAGATATAATCAGTTTAGATGGAAAGGATCTCAAGCTGACTCGCTGAAGACGTCACTGTAGCTTTACCCATTAATAGACACGGTACACTGCGCTACAACTACCACAATAAATTGACCCTTCACAATAGATAATGCTCTATAATGTTAGAGAGCTACAAATGGCAATTTATCTGTTCAATAAAATACTTTACTCACCTGTTGAATAATAAGAACACCATCTCTGTGTCACTTTTACAACATTTCAAAATATGTGAATCTTCTATTAAATATTATATTAATATAATATTTAATAGAATTAATATGTGATTCACGTATTTAAAGGTACACTCTGTCGCGTTTTTTTGTTCAAAGAGCTTGTAATAAAACAAGATATGTCTCAACAGCAAATTCTGTACATACTGTAGCTGTGTTACTGTAGCTTGTCTCTCATTTCACTCCAAACCAGATCAATATTTCATGTCCACTTAGATTGCTACCTGTGTCAATATTACACAATAAACCTTTTCATGGCGATACAAGACCTCTCGTGTCTGTACAGCAAACCTTGGATTGCCAAAACAGAGCCATAAAAATGTATTGGTGGATCTTTCACACATATGATCTGGTGATATCAACATAAGCCAATGCTTTCCTTCTCTACATGCTTCGTCTCGGTCACCGTCGAAACTGGCTGGGACCTTAATCTGATTACATGCTTCATTTGAACCCGTTTGCTTTTCCGTCACACTCTCGCAGCGCTGTGCCATGAGGGAAAATACACCCTTGTACTTTCATTCATACTCAATTACCCTAGCTGCCCGATCACTGTCTGCGCTGTGGGAGTAACGCCCGTGACGTGCAGTCGTCCCATGGAGCCAAACTCAGCTGCTGAACACTTTCTGGCTCTGAGATGTTTCAGTAAGAGTATTTCAATTTCCCCAGTTAGCGCACATGCATCAGACGCAGTAGTGGTGGTCAGTGTGACGTGACCATATCATTAATTGAAAAAATAAAATTGGCTGGTAAGTGTATAAAATTCTCTGTTCATCATCAGCCATAATTTTCATCATGAAACTGTACAATTGTACAAAGCATTAAATCTCGAACGTCCTTCAAAATAATTAAACTCACCCCGATAAGTGACCTGAGTGAAAAAGCACAGTTCACTTTGCATTCACATTGTCACTGGGCTTGTAAGTGGACTCAGACCACTTATTTTTTCTCTTTTTATATCAGCTAATATTTTAGGTTTTCTGTCATACTTATTTTTAAAAGCACTAAAGAGAACTGAGACAAAAACGAAGAAAAAAATATATAAAGGAAATTAATGAGAGAATGAGAACATAAGACATGAAACATCACTATATCATAAATGATATACGCTACTGTTAAAAATGTTGGGGTCAGTAAGATTTTTTCTACTTTTACTACTTTTATTCAGCAAGGATACATTAATGACAGTAAAGACATATAAAATGTTACAAAAGATTCCTATTTTAAATAAACGGAAACCATTTCAATGTATCATGGTTTCCACAAGGTTATTAATAAGATATTAATGTTTTCAAAAGTGTTTTCATCAAATCATACATACAATATAGGGCAAAAGGGTAAAACCTAAATGTAATAGCAAGTTTAACCTCTTAAGTCCTTATTCTCTTTACCTGTCCTGCTGTACTCTACTGTGAAGAATGCTCTGGTGTAGGGTTGTGCCGATAGACGATATCATCGTCCATCGTGATGGCTGACAGACATCACGATGTTAAGCCAGCATCGCGATCCCCCCCCCCTCATGTTTCCATGGTGATGCGTCATGCTTGGCATGTGATTCACCACAGCCAAAATAGCGCTGTATGACAGATGTAACGTTAGCACTTTTATTTCTAAATGTTAACAAATCTGGTTACATACCATGTCATCAACTATCTTCTATTCTGATTCTCAAATGCGTGTAAGTGAGTTTGTTTTGTCGTTTAAAAAACCTTTATAAATTATATTGATCTGTAACGTCAGATTCCTGTCTGTTGGGTTTATTACAGCACGTGAATTCATCAGTTTCTCCCGAAATACATGGCCGGTGAACTGGGAGAAAAATAGAGTTAACTTTAGTTACTTACACTGTGTGTCTGATATGAATAAAATCCGTCGGCAAATATATTTGAATGGGTTGTTATTGCGGCTTCCATAGACACCATTGTGTATTTTACAAACTATAAATGTATTGTTTTGCTATAAATTATATGTATTTAAATGTCTGAAACCTAAAATAAACATTATGTGGTTAAAAACACTGAATAGTTCTGATATATGACAAGCGCTGAGCGCGTCCATCTCTGGCTCAGCGCCAGCCACAGCGCGAAAGCACACAGTTTGAATCTGGCAGTTCTGTCACGTCACTGTACATTCGCTCCTTAGTGGTCAGCTGCTGCAGAGCTGCCGAAATCGAAATTGCTGATGAGATGTAGAGAAAAATATCTCTGCGTTGTGCCTACGCCCCTTAGCTGTTCTAAATCCACTGTAATACACGGCTTTGCCAGGCTTATTGCTTAAGTGAAAAATTAGAATGTTAGCCCCGCCCCTCCCGATATCATTGTCCATCGCGATGTTTCACTGTACACATCGTCTGATGCCAAATTGGTAGACATCGCACAACCCTACTCTGGTGTGGCTGCCGGGTGGAGAAGCACAGTTGTGCTTCAGGGACTCTATTAAGCAGACATTTGTCCCTCCACAGGGGACGTCCATTATTTGGGGGACGTGGGTGTAATGGGCATTGTGCTGCTTGCCTAATGGACGCCCAGTCTTATTAAAGAGAAGCAGGATGAGGCGGACAAGGGCCATCGCCACACAAAAGCAGCCCCGTCCTTCGTTCATGCATTAACATGGAAATCAGGCGTGGCTGATATGGACTCGTCAGAATCATTTACTTTCTGCGACTCCACCCCCTTCTCTGCACTTTCTCACTCCCTGCCTCCAGTTCTCCCCCCACGGTCCTTCACATCCTAATTCTGCGCACCACCTTTTTGTGTTACCACCACCCCCCAAAGCTGCCAGACATCTCGCTCTTCTAGCACCCCCCCACTCCCCCCCCCCCCCCCCCCCCACTCCCCCTTTACTTTCCCCTTCAAACTTTTTTATATTCGGGTTGGTGGTTCTTTCCTGCTTCGCCGTTGCCCAGGTAACCTCATTCAGACGGAATATAAAGGGACATGAAAAGGGTGGATTGGACAGAGGGCTGGAGAAAATAATGAAGTTTGTCCATATTCAGGCGAAAGCTGAAAGGTCTTCTCGCTCCCATCTCTTCCAGTCCACCAGAAATCTCGAGGTTATACGCTACGTGAAGTAGCTGCGACGAGAGACTCTCGGGTTGTGGTTTGCAACAGGAGAACTGAGCCATTTTAACACTCTGGTCTCAGTCCAAGAGTTGCCTGGTGTTGAAGCGACTCCATCGCCGAGGGCTCAATGTGGGGTTTGGGTCTCCATGGTGGTGTCGAATGGATCCGCTGAGCACTAGAGCTATAAATCATTGCGTGCTGGATGCCGTCCCTGAGGTTTATATGTGGAAAGCTGCGTTTAAATGAGGATTCAGTATTGTGGGCATTGTGATGGGGGTGTTCTGTGTCTGAATGAAGTTTAAATGACCTGTGAACCCCCCTGCCCTGACATTGCTGAGTAAGTGGGGGGATATGGGGAGGCGCTTGATAATTAGGGTGAGAAAATGACTGGGTTAAGTGAAGAAAAGATTAAATGATTAAATACCCATTAAGTCTTAATTAGGTCTAACATAACTCTCTTTAAATGTATGAATGATACAGCAGCCCCAAAATCATCTGGACACTTGAGTCGCACTTAAAAGTGCATGAATGCTATTGCATTAGACAATATAAAACAAAACAATTGGCACTGATAAACATATTATGCTTTTTTAGTAACTTTTAACCAATGAAAACGGAAATAGCATTTCAAATTTCTTTTCAAAAAAAAAAAAAAAAAAAAAAAATGCTACTTGGTTTGATATATTGTTATCTAAAGCAATGATATTAATACATTAGTGCCACAGCCAAGTCCATTTTCAATAACTTCACCTACTGTGTATGAAGCCTACTGTATCATATTTAATAAGCTAATTTCTAAGGCTTCTACGTTATCGACATTATCAAAACTTTGCTGGAAAACCTATTGTACACAATTTATTACATGCCTTCTGTCGTCTGATTGATAGTTTATACTTTTTTTAGCGAGTAAAATACTTCTGTCAGGTCCATAAAGTCAAGAACACACAGACAAAATAATTAAGAATTATTTGAATAGATTGCAAACAGGTTGATGTTCCTGAATTGAAATTTGGCGGTATGGCTCTGTTCAGGGAGTCCTCTGACCTTTCATGAGCACCATGAAATAGCAGAGAGTCAGAGGACAGCAGCAGCAGCATTAGGGAACGCTCACACAGTTTTAGACTGTGAGAGCTAGAATATCCCCCCGTGAACAGAGCAGGCAACATGACATAGCAAATGCCACGTTATGCATAAGGAGGAGCTGGGGAGGTGGCGGGCAGCAGAAGCGAGCAGCGAGCCAGCAGAGCGAGCAGCAAGCATGTATGAGCAGGGTGAATGAGCTTTAAATAGGGCGCCTTGTTTGAGCTTTGGCCATTGAACAGCGAGGGGAGTTAACCAGCTAATGCGGCTCAGCTGGAGCAGATCAGCTGACGGGACAGTGTTGATAGCAAATAGCATAAGCAGCGGCTTGACTACCTGGCCTGCCAGAACTGACGCTGACGCTCAATTAATTCTAAAAACTTCCCCCTTAAAGTTGTGGTACATGTGTCTTTTTGCTGTGAAATCTTTATTGATTTTTATTAAGTAAATATAAGATTTTTTTTTATATTGTTAGTAATATTTCTAGATGAACACTTACTGGACTGAAACTACGTTTACTTGATTATCAATTCATCATTTTCTAGAAAAAAACATGTTAAGATGATATGATACATCAGGCTTTTGAGGAACGTTTATTTGTTCATCTCTCAATCATCATTGTATTGCATTGCAATTTGTTTTAACCCCCAAAATTAAAAACTACAGAGCTTCTTCTTACTAAGACATATTATTGGGAGATTTTTATGTCTCTTATACTGTTATAAAGAACTAATTGATTTACATTACAAGCCATCAGAATTTCATCTTACTTTTTGGTAATATAAGCAACTGCACCAAATTGCACACTTTTGCTCAGTTTGGGCCTCTGAATAAAATGTAGGTGTTTTTTTCCTCCTCAAGTATGATCTTTAGATTCTCATATATCATACTAAATGAGCCATGAAAGCCTGATGTATAAAATGTGATACCCAAAACAAAACAAAAAAACGCATATGCATACTTTTATTTAATTTAGATTTTGTCTCATGCTTCAATAAACACTTCCTATCAAATTTTGTTTTTGTTTTTTCTGATTATTATTTCATATGTCAGGCTTTACAGAAGAAAGTACCAAAGATGTTGAAAATGACAGATGTTTCTCCACCTGCAAACACAGCTGAAACCTAATTTTTTTGTTTCTCACAGAAGACTTTACCTGTGTTTCACTAGTTATCTGTCTGCTATCTTCCTCAGACTGTGACTCCCACTGCAAGAGCCCCAAGGGCAAGATGAAGGTCACCATGAAAAAATACTGCAAAAAAGATTTCGGTAAGTAGCTGTTATTTAGAAACGCCTGCTGTCTTTTCACTTCACGTCACTAGACATCTTTCTCTTCTAGGTCTATTCTATCTCTCTCTATAAATGTGTTCCCCCTCTCTCATTGCGCGGATAGCTTATTCAGAGGCTAAAGGTTTATGTTATAGCATCAAAGCGTGTGAACTCAGCAGGTTTCTCCAGATGGACACGCTCAAACTGCCTCGCAGCATCTAGAGGACAAAGGGGACAGCTGGTTCCTGTTCAAAGCAGAGATTTCACAAGTTTAAATACTAATATAGTTAATATAATAAAGGACTTATAGAGGTTCAAGAATGTAGTTGTAGGTTTTAAGTGGCACTACAGATTCTTAAAAATCTGGTCAATGCAAGTTTTTTCGTTTTCTTGTGAAAGTTGTTGTACCACACATGAGAAACAGATTACAAAGAAAAAAAAATACAGAAAACTTCACATACACTAAATTTTAAACTCTATTCAACTATATTAAACCAAAGTAGCTCAACTGGTAGAACAAGGGGTCGGTAAGATTTGTTCATGTTTTAAAAGAAGTCTCTTCTGCTCACCATGGGTGCATTTATTTGATAAAAAATACAGTAAAACTGGAATATGGTGATTGGTGAAATATTATTACCATTTAAAATGTAATTTATTCCTGATGAAACGAAACAGCTGAATTTTCAGCATCATTACTCCAGTCTTCAGTGTCCAAGATCCTTCATAAATCATTTTAATATGCTGATTTGATGATCAAGAATTGTTATTATATAGGAAGTTATTTTTGTAAAAATCATTTTAGATAGTTAGAAAGAACAGCTTTTATTTAAAATAGAAATCTTTTGTAACATTATTTATAAATTAATTAATTTACTGTCACTTTTGATCGATTTAAAAAATGCTTTCTGGATAAAAGTATTACATTCTTAAAGAAAAATTATACTGACTCCAAACTTTTGATATAGTTACTATATAGTTATACTGGCAAAATGTATACTTTGAATGTTATTTTACAATTTTTGGAAGTTTCTCTGGATTAAATTGTCTGTTAAATTCATAAATGCACATACAAACTATATTTGTTATACTTCACCTTTTATCGGGACCATTACAAAGGCTCTTGCATGCATATTCGGTAGAGGCAGAATCTGTCTTTGACTGCACACATGTCCTCTGGCTGTTCGCAGAGATGAGAAAAAGAAAAGATGTTTGATTTCACAGTGTGATATCATAAACTCATTCCTTACTGGCCTCAGGTCTGGAAACACATCTGAGATTTGCAGTGTCCAAGAGTGAAGACTGCACTGCCTCTGCAAAAAAACACTGCCAAGCTAGAAAGAAAAACTAAAATGAAGAGAGACAGACAGACACAAGTCCTAAAATGGTGCAATGCAGTCATTTTTCTGTCCTTACTGAAAACGGAAAAATTATAAACAAACATAAGCTAGGTTTCCATCTAAAGCTGAGAATTTAAACTTTTAAACTAACATTTGTGAATAACGCAGCGTTTCCATCCCATGTGTTCAAGAGAGCAAAATCATCACTTCCTGGGAAATTGGTGCAAAATATCTAATACAAATGGAAGTTACTGCAATTGCGGAAGAAACGATGGCTCTTTTATCCTACTGTACATCATAAATGACTTGCGTCTGAGCGCATAGATGAAACGCAATAAATAAACTCGTCATGTTATCTTGCATTCGGAGGCCTGGTGCTTGTGAACGCAATCATGCAAGACCTTCTGGGAGGGAATTAAACCGAATTATTCTCATGACAGACTTTGGCTCAGGCATTTCAGAACGATCAAACCAACATTTGAGATGCTGTGCAATAAAATTGGTCGGGTAGGGTTGCAAAATTCTGGGAATTTTCAAAGATGGCAACTTTCCATGGGAATTAAAGGGAATTTAGGTTATTAAATGTTTAAATTGCAAATATCACATACAAATGTATTAATCTAGTAGCAGTGCCGATAAGTTAGATGCTAAATAAGCTAGCATAACTTTATTTACCCACATAAGGTAGATGCTAGCTACCTCATGTGGCTGTTTTTCTCTGCCTCCAGCAATATGTTTTCAAGATCATTCCAGTTGTTTAGCTAGCCTTACTATTTATGTATCTGTTCATGCCATTGCATTAGTATTTTTACTAGGGTTGGGCCGATGGACGATATCATCCTCCATCGTGATGCCTGACAGACCCCCCCCCCCAGACATGATCAGACATGATGCCCCCCCCCCCCATGGTTTCCATGGTGACGCGTCATGCTTGGCACGTGATTCACCACAGCCAAAATAGCGCTGTATGACAGATTTAGCGCTTTTATTTCTAAATGTTAACAAACTTGCTTACCATGTCATAAACTATCTTCTATTCTGATTCTCAAATATATGTAAGTGAGTTTGTTTGGTAGTTTAAAAAACCTTTATAAGTTATCTTGATCTGTAACGTAAATGGGACGTTTTGGAGGGAGAAGGTTTTTTTTTCATTTAACATTTTGAATGGGACTTTGTGGGGATTTTTGGATGGGGGTGCATTTTTGATTGAGTGGGGTTGGGGGATGAGTAATATTTAACCCAATATTCCTGTTTTTGTTCTTCCATGAAACAAGTGATTGTTCAGTAAAATAATTAAAACTTGTTCTGTTCTACTTACAAATAAATCTGTTGAAATATCTGTTGAAAACATTTTGCATGGATGTTTTCTTATGACTTCTGTTTATATTTATGCTTGGATATGATACAATGATCGATTACATTACAATGAATTCCCAGTTAGTTCACCTAAATTCCCATTAATTCCCATTAATTCCCATAATTCCCATTATTCCCATGGAAAGTTTCTAATATGGAATATTTCCAAAATTCCCAAGCTTAACTTCACATGGAAATTTACCGGACACTTTCTGGAAATTTTCCGCCCCTTTGCAACCCTACTGGTTAGTCAAGTTATCCAATCACATCCACTGTTGAGGCAAAGTCACATGAGTTTTTTTGTTGTGCATAGGGGGATTTATTCGGTAAATGTGTTTCCATCTTTTATGGAGTAACGCAGTATTGTAACGGATTACTTTTAAAAGTAACTTTCCACAACACTGGTTAGCATTACGTTTTATATTTGAAACTGAAAGTTTGAATTAAGGTGCAAAACTCGCTGATCATGTTCTCCAGCATGATTTGAAAATGATCCAAAGAGCATCTTGAGCTTCAGTGAAAGCAAAAACATCTGTACAAAGAAGTTCGCATGCACATTGTCACAAATTTGCTTATATGATTAGTGACCTAGAAATAGTGCAGAAGCAACTTTGCTTTCATGTGCAAAACTTTGTTTATTTGAAAAACATTCCAGATTGTCAATGTGGTTTCAGAGTTTTGGACCCCAGCGTATATGAAGGCCTCGGCATGTCTGCAGCATCTAGCACAAACTGAAATGTGAATTTGCGGCTAAAACTATTGCACACAGAATTAGGGTTATAAACACACAGAGAGAACCACACATGTCCAATTTATCCCAATCACACAGGCCATCTAAAGTGCAATTTCCTCATTAATATAGCACCTTATCTATATTAAGATCTCTGTACTTCTCATTACTTTTAAATGACTCATTTACAATCCCTCTCTGCTATCACATTGGTTCTCAAAACATTTTTAGGCATCTCCTGGGGCGAAGCAGATAATATTAATATAGATAATATCCACAGGTTGAATCAGCAACCACGAAGACTAATTGAACAATAAAATGAAGCAAAGAAAGAGAGAGAACAAACTATTAATGGCATTGCTGGTCATCTGTAGCTGCTATCGTTCAGGCTGTGATATTAAGTTTCATTCGTTTTTCACTCTCAGCCACAAGTGTTCATACTCGGAGGGTGCTCTCTTAGGGAAGTCATTCATCATGTTGATGTTATATTGGACAGGTAACATTGACTAAGCCGAGTGTCCTGACTGCAGTATAAATCTCATTGGGTGGGGTGTATGGAAGGGCTAATGGCGTGTCCCCATTCAACCGGCCCCCATGTGCGAGAGAGACCCAATGATTTTTTCGGTAACACTTTCTTTTAGGGTCCTATTCTTACTATCAACTAGCTGCTTATTAGCATGCATATTACTAGAATGCTGGCTATTTATTAGTACTCAAAGCACATATTAATGCCTTATTTTGCATGACCATACGTCCCTTAATCCAACCCAATACCTAAACTCAACAACTACCTTACTAACTATTAATAAGCAGTAATTAGGAGTTTATTGAGACAAAAGTCGTAGTTATGCAATAGTTAGGTAAGAGTGAGATTTGGACACTAAACTGTGACCAATTTTTCTTTTTTACACAACACAACATAAGCAATATTTGCAAGTCTGGCCTAGACTTGTTACGTTCTGTGTATAATATTTTTAATTTAACATGTAAAATTTTTTATTAACATAGGATTAATTTTTTCTGGGATCCATTGGCTAGCGTTACAATAGGCCTACACTGTAACTATACATTTATATGATTTCCATTACACGAGAGTAGATGTTAAAACTTCATGCTGATTTGTACTCGGCTTTCGCCAAGATAAGCAAAACTAAGACGTAGCTTTACAGTAAACTATGCTTCTCCATCCATTTACGCTTCTTTCCATAAAGTAGTGTGACTCCCCTTCTGTCCGGCGTTAACGGCAGCAGTGTACTTGGCGCGTTAGCGCACGCGACGGCTGCAACTACAGGACCAGCACGACAACCGTCTGGATTGAACCGAGTAGGGGACATCTCTAGGGTCTTCAAGTGGGCACCTTCCGTCCTCAGTGTTTCGTCGACTAGCCCACGACACCTCAAGAGGGCTCGACAGTGACTCTGGCGTCCCAGAGTCACCCCCCTCCGTCCCCCACTCAACTCAGCCCAGCTTACTGACCTCTACATCCCTCCTGCTGCTGAGACCTAACCACAATAACCCAACCATACGCGCCAACCCGTTGACTAAGGCTGTCGAGCCCCACTGGTGCGTTAATATGC